AACGTAAGCTGGACGGGGAGGTGAGGGTAGGTGGTGGCAGCCTCCAACACACACGTGCGGGGGTTGAGCTTTGGCGCCAGCCAGCTGCTACAAATGAAATAATCGATGTGCGTGCCAGGTGAAACCTGCCTGCAAGTGGGCGCCTCAGAAACGAAAGCCAGTCCGCCAGCCGCCGCTATCCAGTCGGACTGGTCCAGGGCGGTGAGCGGCATGTTGAAATCGGCGCCGATGATCCACGGGATCTGCATGCCGTTGAGCACTGACAGGTACTCGATGATCTCCCACACCAGCTCGGCGTTGCACGGTCCGTACCCTTCGCCGTCCTTGAGATAGGCCGACAGGAAGACAACCCCTCCAGGCAGAAAGGACATGACGTGCGCAGCCACAAGCCTGCCAGGAACAAGTACATGACTAGCGCAGCCAGGGGGCGCCTTGATAGGAATATGTGACCTGACCAATACTGCAACTCCGCCTGTAGTGCCAGGCCCTCCATTCTGATTAGGCACAGCAGGGCCCCAGAGCCCTCTCCAGCCAGTATCTTCAACTTGCGACTGACGCTCACCAAGCTTGGTATCAGGAACATGGTGCTCTTGCGCCAGCACCACATGAGCAGTGCTGTCCACCAGGTAGTCGCACAGTGGACCCAGCGAGCTCGAGTTGAGCGTCACAATATGTGAGTCGCTTTTGCCCTTCGCCTGGCCAGCAAACTTGACATCAGGTCGACGAACCCCTGGACAGTCGGTACCCTCTGCCACACGATGCCCATCGGGCGAGCGTGGTGAGCAGTGCGTGCTGCCAGGGTCTAAAGGATGCATGCCATAGGAGCAACCAGCAGTAGAGCCATCCACCCTCGTCGAGCAAGAGGCCGAGCTCGTCAAAGCAATCGGCGCACATGTGGCGCTCTCTGCCTGCCACCTGGTGACAGGTGAGTGTAGCGACCAAGACGATGGCGTAGCACCCGCAGTCGCAGTGGCTGCCCTTGCAGAAGACGCAGTAGGGGCAACCTGAACGCATGTGTCAGGCAGATCTGGCTGACTGTCAGATGCTTGATCAAATTGAAAGGGATCAACGTCAGGATCGTCCATGAGAGAACGTCTGGGAGCTGAGGTCAGCTCATCTTGGGCAGTAGGCGTCGTCATTGCAACAGGAAAAGAGCATAGACAGAACAAAACCACAGCTAGCCGCCCGATCACATTACGCAGCGGTCGCACCACTGGTCTTGAACTTCTTGGTAAGCGAATGAACTTGGGCCAAATGACGCTTGAGCTTGTCACGAAGCTCTCGCACCTTAGTGTCGTCAAGCTCGTCATCTTCCCCGCCCACGTCGACATCAATGCCACATTCTTTGAGATGTTCACGGCATGTGCGACCGTCCAGGCCATCGACGTGAGCGTTAGCACGATCCTGATCCTCATCATCGTCGATATCCATGGATTCTCGAGCCTCAGGAGGAGCGGAGTGAGCCTCAGGCTGAGGCGGTTCAGGTGCAGCTGTAACCTCTGGGGCTTCCTTGAGCTTCTGCACCAGCGCGCGCATGGCGATGAGGTCGGTGCTGAACCGCTCCGACCCGCCCAGCGCGCGGACCACGGCATCGAACTGCTCGACCGTGGCCTCCATGCCTGGCAAGAAGGTGGACAGGGAGGGTGACTTATCATCGAACTGCACCGCGGGACCAACCACATGGCGCAACCTCTCCTCAAGCTCCACGATGTGTTTGTTAGCATCCTGCTCGTCCTGCTCGACCTGCGCCAGGGCCTGCTTGGCCTTCTCCAGAGCCGAACGAGCAGCCTCCTTTTTGACAGCGATGTTGGACAGCTTCGTGCGAGCGGTCTTGAGCTGACTGGTGAGCCCCTGCAGATTGGCCTCCAGCGGTTTGTCGGCCTGCAGCTCGGCCTGCAGGCGCTGCTTCTCGGCTTCATACACCGCACGCTGCTCGGCGTCCTCAGGCCCCGACAGGAGCTTGAGCAGACTTCCAAGCTTGGTGAGGCGCTCACGTTTGACAGCCGCTTCAGTGCCTTTAGCCCAGGGAGGAATAGCGGGCTCCTTGGACTCCAACTCCGTACCATTATGACTGCCAACCAACTTCTGCATGCGCTGCTGTAGCTCTTCCAACTGCTTCGTGAGGAGCTTCTCACGCTTCGTGGCCAAGTCATGAGAGCGCTGCACTGGGACCTTGGGTGGGGGCACCCCATAGAACGCGGAGCCTTTCGGGATGCCACACTTGCCACACCACTTCTGATCACCACGGTTGATCCAGCTCGTGCCAGTGGGCTCATGCTTGCACCATTTGCAATACCATGGGCCTGCCTCCGTGCTGCGTGACCTGGGTGCCATGCCGACGGGCGGAAAGGCAGGTCGAGCACGTACACGAGAAACCACGCGAGGCCAGACAAGCGGGCCGTGGTGGGGCTGGGCCGTGCGGGGCGGACCGCACGGCGCTCTGCCTGGGGCGAACCAGGCGAAAGACGAAAGCTGGCCGCGGACTAGCGGTATCCACTTTGTTCCCAGGGGAAACCAAAACCTTGAGCCAAAATGGCTACGGAGATGATGATGATGATGATGATGAGGAGGAGGAGGAGGAGGAGGAGGAGGAGGAGGAGGAGGAAAGGGAATCTACTCCCCGAAGGGGAACACTGGGGTTGGCAGAACGAGTTCCCTAGACCGCTCACGCCCACGACCAGAGGGCCTGTGGGATTTTCTAATGCTCGGACGCGGGTTGGGTGCTCTCGAAGAGTGGCGGCGGCAGGCGGCGGTTCGCCGGGCGAAGGACAGCAACCGGGCCAGAGGCGGGCGCCCTCGCCCAAGGCCGTGAGGCGGCAGCTTCCGCGGAGTCCTGGAAGCGAAGCTTCGTGGGAGCCGCGGTGGCTCGGCCGACAATGGTCGACGCGGGGGCCACTGGCGAACCCTACCCCCACCCCCCACGAGTTCTGAGGGGGAGGGCGGGGTTCACTTCGACCGGGAGCTCCCGAGCGAAGTGAACCCCACCCTCTCCCCCTCAGAAGTCGTGGGGGGTAGGGGTGGGGTTCGCATGTGGTCCCCTATCGGCCGACGAGGGTCGACGCTGGGGCTCTGGCCACAGATCCCCTCGCCTGCGCCGGCCGATCCACTGAGAGGGAGAGCGCCGGCACGATGAGCTGGCGCGGCGGCAAGCCCACTCGTCTGGAACGGAGGCCCGCAGGCAGGAGGCACCGGGGATGGGCCTCCGAGGGCTGCCGCTGCGAAGAGGAGGCTGGCAGTGCCGTGCAGGGCTCACGCTGCAGAGGGCCAGCCATGTTGACACGGGGCCGGTTTTGAATCGAAGAGGAGGTGAAGCGATGGCGCGGTGTGCGCAGAACGAGCGATGAGTCCAAGCCGCGTGAGCACCCACGTTCCAGTGCTGCGCAACGTTAGGCATCGTCTTGGCGGACCTTGTCGTTGCCAGGCTGCTGCGATGACAGATCTCTGGGGCGCAGCAGCCCAGGCGCCAGGCAGAAAGACTCGCACGCTGTTCGCGTCACCATGCGCCGTGCGCGTGTCGGCGAACTGGGCCACGAGCACGAGGGGCAACCAAGGCGTTTCGGCGCTGCAGTTGCGAAACACGAACCCACTGGTGCCTCAAGACGAATCGGGTACGTTATCGAGAATGCCCGTTCGTGACGATTTTCTTCGTCGAAGCCCGCTTTTCCAGCTGATGGGGTATAGGAGTGGAGGTGAGCAGACCACGGACCAGGGGTCGTGGTTCCCCACAGCCCAAGCGTTTGTGCATTACTGCCAGAGAGGCACGTCGTTTGTGATTGGTGGTCGGGGAAGTGAGTGGAACCTTGAGCACTTTGCGTTTCTCTATGTATCCTATGACCTATTTTCTTCGGTGCGCGATCAGGAGATGTCGATCCTTGCCGATGAGCGGTGGGATTCTAGTCGGGCTGCGCGTAGCGCAGACAGATAGTCTGTCCCGAGAGAGTGCACTCGCCGCTTGTCCAGCACAAGCAGGGAAGGACACGTGCATGCAATGTTCGTTATCTGGCGCAGCTCAGCCGCTCCTCAGAGCAGGCATCGCACGATTAGCGCAGGCCTTCCCGAAAGCAGGAAGCGAGCTTCTCGCTGGTTGTCCCGTGTCGTGTGCAGGTGATGCTGCGCATCGCCAAGCGGGCAGCATCCCTCTTTCGGCGCGCCTGGCCTTGCGGAGGCTGGAAGCCATCTGTTCGGCCCCACCCTGTCCCCGACCACGTCGGAGCGCAACGTGCAGGGCGTCTGCGCGTGCCAGGTGTACCCCCCCCCCACCCCCCCCCCCACAGCTCCTCCGTGAGAGAGGCACCACGGCGTCTGCGGTGGTGGCCTCGCGCCGTTGAGGAAGCAGCAGCGCTTCATGGCTGCTTGGGTGGCCCTGCCTAGGCTGGGAAAGAGGGACCGGCGATGTCGGGTTGCACGCAGGCTTGGTCAGGCTGTTGTGGTGAGGTTTTCTTGGGGCTTCGCTTGTCCTTGGAGCGAATCGAAGGAAGCAGAGGAGGAATGGTCTAACACAGCTTGGAAGGAGGAGAAGACGGGCTGGCGATGCCCTTCTTTACGGAGGTTTGGTGGCCGTAAAGGTCCTTTCGGGATTTCGGTTGCTTGTGGGATAGAATGGTGAGAGGGAGGGGTGGTGAAGCAAGATGTACAGTCGGACCGAGGTATCATATCGAGGTCGGTTCGGGGAGGGTACCCTAGTGCTCTTCGTGTTTGTTGGATGTTCGTGTGCGTCCTAGGGGAGGCTACCCTTCGACATTTTGTGTGTTTTGGCCGGCGGAGGGTCTTATGTTCTGGAGGGATGTTCTTCTGGCCGAGGTCCGACTGTAGAACAGTTTGGGCGCAGAATGCAGGAACCGAGGAGGGAGGAAGGATGGCGGTAGGAGTAATTAGGGGAAAGGGTAGAGTGGGGGGAGGGGGGGAGCGAGTATTTGGCACGATGAGGGGTGGAGGCTGCGGATGCCTTGAGATATCCGTGAGAGAATGCGGTGCTGGGGACACGTAGTTCCGTCGCACAGGCTGGTCGCCTTCGCCACGCCCGAGGAGCTGCAGGTTCACGAGATCGCCCAGCACACTGAGATCGAGCCCAGGAGCTGTGCGGAAGGGCCCCGAACTGTCGACCGCACGCTTGCTGGCGGCGCGCAGAAGGGGGGGCAGGGGGAGGGGGGGAGGTTTCCTTGAAGGAGGCTGCTTCTTAGAAGGCGCCAGCCCTACATCTACAGAGAAGGCCCGGACCTTCTAAGACGCAGGGGTGCTTCTAGGAAGCTTCCCCCCTCCCCCTGTCCTCCCCTATGGGGGCCACATGCGAACCCTACCCCCACCCCCAACGATTTCTGAGGCGGGCGGGGGGCGTTCACTTCGCTCGGGAGCTCCCGGTCGAAGTGAACCCCACCCTTCCCCTCAGAAATCGTGGGGGGTGGGGGGGTAGGGTTCGCCTGTGGCCCCATGCCCCCCCCCCCCTTCGCGCGCCGCCGAGCTTGCCAGCCCGCAGCTCAGGATGCCGCCGGGTCGCGGACCTCGGAGGCTCGGAGGGCCCCGCGGAGGAGCTCGTTTTCGGGGGGGGCACCGTCCCCTCCCCACCCTCGAGCGTCTACGCCTCCCAGATGGGGTCGGAGTAGATGGGGTCGGAGGATCGCGCAGCATCGCCGATGCATCGCCGATGCGGCTCGATGCGGAGCCCGATTTTCTACACGCTCACGGCGCTGGTACATCGCCGATGTCGCCTGTGCATCACCAATGCATCGCCGATGCATCGGTGATGCAGCGAGATCCTCCGACCCCATCTACTCCGTCCCCATCTAAGACGCCTCTAGAGCGGGAGCTCGGGCCCAAGCGGGGGAGGGGGGTGGGAGAGCGGTGAGAAACGCCTCGTCACCCACGACAGGCGGGGGTCGGCGGAGCCCCATGCGTCCACCCCAGTTGCCCATCGGCCGTTGAAAGCAGGTGTTTTGGGACTCCCAGCTCCCAATCGACTTTGAGCGCCTTCCTGCTTCAATGATCGAGTGGCTTCCCCTCTTCCCTGCTCTTCAGGGGGCGGGCGGAAGCCCAATCTACTTCCAACGCCTTCCTGCTCTTATGTTCCTATTTGTGTTTGCCGACCGATGGATTATCATCCCCCTTCCACATCCCCCCCTTGTCCGTCCTGTCCTCCCTCGTCCTCAGTGCCCCCCTCTCTGAGGGCTGCCTCGGCGGCCTTCGCTGAGGAAAGCGCAGCGCGGGAAGAAGTCGGGCGGCGTCCGCCTGGTTACTCCACCCGCCTTGCTGCCGCCGCCGTGGCTCCGCCGCCCCCGGCCGGCACGGCGAGAGGGTAGCCAGGGAGGGCAGAAGGGCGAGAGGGAAGAGGGAGGACGAGGGCGCGAAGTTATTCCTCATCCTCATCCTGATCCCCTATCCCCATCCTCATCTTCATTTTCATCCTCCTCCCCATCCCCATCCCAATCTTCATCCTCATCCTCATCCCTCACCCCTCATCCTCACCTTCACTCGCGACTCCTCATCCTCATCCACATCCTTCTGCAATTCGAACGGTAGGCCACCTTTTCTTTGGGCACGCCAGCAGGGTAGCATTTGATCCGCTGCCGTTTGCGGGGTCCCATTCCGCGCCCGTTCTGATACCAATCGCTACACACCGCTTTACACGTCATTGAGAAGATCCGTTGTTCACCCTCCGTTTTACCGTTCTAGTTGGTAGCGGAACACCTCGCTCCACAACCGCATTCGCCGCCATGGCCCGCGAGGCAACCCTCGCGCTCCTGGCGACCCTTTACACAGGACTTTCAACACCCAGCCGCTCGACGGCCCTACATGGCGTCGCGCGGTCTGCAACGCGCTCGCCGGCGTGCACCTCCACCGGCTCGCCGAGGCCGGGGACAGGTCTTTCAGGATTGTCGGGGCACCAGCCGCCCACCCGCCAGAGAACACGACCGGGCAGGAGCGCGAATACATCTACAAGGACATTGACAACAAGGACAGCGCCCCCGCGTGCCTTCAGGGGCACTTTCGGACTGTGTTCAATTCGGGGGCGCCCTTCGTCGTCACAGCGCTCGCCCGTGAGTGCCGCCGTCAGCGTCAGACCGTCGAGGTATCCGATGTGCTCGCTCGCGGCGTCGGTTCAGGGCCCCGAGATGTTCGCAACTGTATTGCGGAAGCCCAGGGGGGAAACGGGTAATGACGCACCGCGTTCATTGCATCCGCACGTGTGTGCAGCCGACTATGTCAAGACTTCATTCGATCCGACGCTCACGTCGTCGGCGTTGACAAGGCGTGCCGAGCTCTCCGGGACTACGTTGTGGAAGCCGGGGGAAAGCGCGCGCAGGCAAGAGCGGGAACATAGGGAGGTTTGGGCAACTATGCGCCCATCCTTCTGGCGGGGCCGTAGTACGAGTAGGGGATTTCTCCTTGGCGGCTTTCCCGGGCCAGGCCCTTGGCGTTGTTTTCGCAACCCGTGTTTCTTCTTGGCAGACTTGGGTCCCTATGCCATGCGCACTTCTTTCGACGATCGCGCAGTTGGCAGCGCGTAGCAGAGCGGCAATCTGATGCGCGACGAGTTCTCTCGCCACGGAGCGGCGGGGCGCCCCGAGTGCAGTCCGCGCGGCAGCCGCGCGACATGAGAGAGTAACCGCTGTTCTGATTAGGAGGAACAGACCAGGGGCAGTTGCCGGCGATGGCTCCGAGGATCCCTACCAGAACACCGCCGCGGGTGGGTACCAAGACTGATCCTCGACACCTTCAGGGGGATCTATTCTGGATGGAAAGCCATCAGGGCGGGCGCGGTCGCTGCCATCAGCTTCATCGCCTGCGCGAACGTACGCGGCGGCGGCAGCAGCGACATTCGGGGGAGCGTAAGACCTGGGTTTGCCAGGACTCGGGTTCGCCATCGTTTTTTGACGACCGCGACTCGGATTTTGACGAATAGGATTTCGTTGGATGTCTGCAGCGGGAGGCCTCGTCAAAATGCAGGCTCGGCCTCGACATTTTTTTGACGACCTCGTCGGGGATTTCCGAGTCCCCCGTAACCGGGTCTTACGTCTCCCCGAGACATGCGACGCCCCCGCGCCCGGGGACCCCAGCTGCAAGCTCACGTGCCTTTCCAGCGCTGGGTGCTGGAGGTGATGATCGGGTCAGTGCATGGCGAACACAGACCTCGACGAGTTTCGCCAAGTGGCCTGCGCCTCGTCTCGCTCGACCAGCTCGGCTCGCGAGCGCGCGGGCGAGTGGCCGCTGGCTGCCCCCGTCCAAGGTGGCCATGCCAGGGGCGACGCAGCGCCGCCCATGATTTATCTCACTCGCAGCCTGGCCGAACGGCGAGGCCAGCTTGGAGAGGGGCGCGCGCAGGCGGTGCCCGCTCTGATGAACTGCGACCGATTGCCGCAGGAGCGCGTCGACGACCCCCGCGCCAGGTTCGACATCCTCCGCAACAGGGGGTATCGCGCCTGTCAGTTCATGATCGGATACGAGGGCCTGAGCTACCTCCTGCCGCGCGCGGCGGGCGCGTCAGATGTCGAGCTCGCACTGGCCCCGCAGCAGTGGAGCGTCGCAGCGGCTCCTCCTTTTGAGACGAAGAGGGGCGCGCGCCGAAACCCATTCCAAGCGAACTGACGTTCTTTGGGGTGGTTGCAGTGCGCGGGCGCGCCCTGCCGCGCGGTTGTTTCTCGGCGCGTTGAGCGTGCTGAACTTCGCATGGTGTGAGGCATTCACTTTGCGCGTCGCGCGTGCTATCGCGCGCCGATCGCGCGCGGTTTGAGCTACGTCGCAGACGCTTTCTGGCGAGGCCCTCTTAGGGCCCGCCAGGGCCGCCGAGCGCCGAGAGCTCCCGGCAGCCATTGCTCGCGATGGGCGAGGCACCACACCGGGAGGTGCGTCCGCGCTGATTTCCTAGTGCTTTGCAGCGTCGTCCGCAGCTCGTTTCTGCATGTCCGAGCTCCGTAGCTGCTTGCTCGCCCTCCTGTGTTCAGCTGCGTTCTTGCTCTTATGGACAGCGCGCAGGCCTGACGAAAGCTTGAGAGGTCCCTTCCATTATGTGACCCCTGGCGGCGCCAGGCAATCTCGATGGGCGCGGCGCCGTACCGGGAGGAGCAGGAGCAGCGGCGGCGGGGCCAGCAAGCTCCCCGGCAGCCTCCAGAGGCCGCCCGGCCTCTTCGGGGGGCCGCCCGCGGGGCCACGGGGTCCTCTCCTCCGCAGCTGTTCGGAAGGGGGAGGGGGCGGTGGGAGGGGATGGAGGCGGCGGGACAAGGAGGAGGAGGAGGAGGAGGAGGAAGAGGAGGAGGAGACGGAGACGGAGGAGGAGGAGGAGGAGGAGGAGGAGGAGGAGGAGGAGGAGGAGGAAGAGAGGCGGAGGTGGAGGAAGAGGCGGAGGAAGAGGTGGAGGAGGAGGAGGCGGAGGACGAGGAGGAGGCGGGGGACGAGGACGATGAGGAGGAGGCGGAGGCGGAGGCGGAGGCGGCAGAGGAGGAGGAGGCGGAGGAGGCGGAGGAGGAGGAGAAGGAGGAGGAGGTTGAGGAGGAGGAGGAGGACGAGGAGCGGGGGAGGAGGTGGGACGAGGACGAACAGGATGTAGGACGAGGAGGAGGAGGTGGGACGAGGACGAGGCGGAGGCGGACGAGGAGGACCAGGACTAGGACGAGGAGGAGGAGGAGGAGGAGGAGGCGGAGGAGGAGGAGGAGGGAGGAGGAGGAGGAGGAGGAGGAGGAGGAGGAGGAGGAGGATCGGCGGCGCGCCCAGGGGGGGATGTGCGAAGGGGCGGGCCTTCTCAGAAGGCTGGGAAGTGCCCGTCTGAGGAGTTGCCGTGAGCCTTCCTCGAGGACAGGAAGCTTCTCAGAAGGATGGCTTCTGAGAAGCCCCGCCGCCTTCTGGGAAGGCCTTCTCTTTCTCGTGTCCCCCCCTCGCGCGCCGCCGAGCTGAGCACACGCGCACAGCTCGGATTGGGTGGGTTCGGATCGGAGTCGAATCGCCCGATGGGAGACAGCAGGGCGCACAGTGGCACCAGCCATCCTCGTTCATGCAACACTCTATACGCAGAACACTGCAGGCACGAGCATTCCAAGGGACAGAAGCGATGCGCATACTCATTATCTGACTCTTCTGCTTAGCAGCCTGCAGCCTTCGCGCAGGCTACACTCATTCAGCAGAGCTGCACAGAAATCCGCTCATTCTCAAGGAAGGCTTCAGACACTCTTCAGCGACTGCTTGCAACCGAATAGCTGCAATGCGCAACCATCAACACAGCGTGAATCGGTAATCCTCCGCTGCTTGATTCAGTTGCTGCGACTTTCGCAGCAAACAACTGGAAGGGCAGCACCGATCACAACGCCAGATCTCTACGGAGCCGCAGTCGGACGCCGAGGCCGTGCAAGCTCATGTTTCGGAAGTCCACCTTGAACTGGTGCTTCTTCAGCTTCATTAATCTTGGCGTCGCTGCCACCAGTCACCAGACACATGTTTGGTATCTGGCCTCCAATGCCACATTATCGCCGAAATTGTCGCAGAAGGTGAAATTCTCCCATTCGCCATGCATGCCACAGACTCTCGATTGAAACTGCTGGTCCGCGCAAGTGGTGTTGCACACGAGGGCCGTCTGCTCCACGGCCGTCTCGCCGCACGGGTCGACGGCCTCCGTGTCAGCGGGCTCGAGAATCCACCAGGCGGTGTCGCTCAGCTCCTTGTCGTCCACAACGGGCGGGTTGTTCTCGACGCACTTGTCGAATGCCTCCTTGTTAGCGGGCTCGCCGCTGCTATGGCCAGTAACCTTCCAGGGATGTCGGGGCTTTGCTTGTCAATGCGGGCCAGACTCTCGACGGTAGTGTCGCTCAGCCCCTTATTGTCTACGGTGGGCAGGTCGTCCTCGCAGTCGCGGACGCCGATCCGGTTCGCCATCGAGCGAATAATTAGTGCAGTTGGTCGCTGCCTGGGTGGTAAGGTCACCATCCCTTGAGGCGACATCTTGCGCAACCTTGGGCTCCTCGACGTGCTGCTCCATCGGCTCCTCATCCGCCTTCACGACCTTCTTCACTGCCACCTCGGCACGCCAGTCGATGACCTCCGTGTCGGCCCCTGCCATATCGAGGCTCTGCAGGACGATGCACACCTGGGTCTCGCAAGTGGTGTCGCTCAGCCCCTTACTGTCCACGGTGGGCAGGTCATCGTAGCGTAAATCGATGTTCTACTCTTTCGAGCGGGCAGGTTTCCCGCAGTTTCTCGACCGCGACCTTGGGTTCCTCGCCGAATTGCTCCATCAGCTCCTCGCCCGCCGTCGTGCACAGCACCTGGTCAGCCGCCTCGTCCTTCTCCGCCATGGCCAGCATAGCGGATCCTTCCGTAGGTGACTCTGCGATCAGTTCCTTGCCAATCTCGTGCCGTTCCAAATCCAGCGCCGCCAGCACCGTGTTGTAGGTTTCTGTAATGAACCACTCCTCGAGGCCTGTGGGGCGCCGAGCGCCAGGAATTACACCAGGCGGCAGCGCGCCCGCTGGACGTGGCGAGCATGCGTGGCGCGGGTGCGCGCACGCCCGCGCGAATTGCGCGACAAGCCGAGGGCCTCACTGGCGGCAGCACGCTGCTGCTCCATCCTTTTCAGCGTGACCTCCAGGCCGGCTGCCTGCAGCTGCAGGACTTCATGCGCGAGAGGTCTGTTTTGTGAGCGGTGTTTTGTGGCACACCGCCACTCGTCCACCACCTTGAGCCACCGCCGAGATGAAGAGGAGGAGGAGGAGGAGGAGGAGGAGGAAGAAGAGAGGGAGGGGACCGCCCCAGTCGAAGGTCGGTGGATGCGTGTGCAGGCTCCAGTTCATAGTGCTCGGGCGGCTGGAGAGGCCCGCGCGCGCCAGGGTCAAGGCAAACGGGGGTCAGCCAGAGCGCCGGATCTTGCGGGATCCTGAAAAGCAAGGGGTGCACTGACCCAGGCTTGTGCGCAGGATCCTGGAGGATCCTGCAGGATCCTGCAAAGCCCGACTGGCGCAGATTTGGATTGGCCTGGGCCAGTAGATTCTCGAAGGAGGACGTCGAGGATGGTAAGGCTCCGGGCTGCGCGCACACAGCCCAGCTGTCCTCAAAAGGGTCCCCGAGTAATGATTTTTGGATGCAGCCGGTCGAGTATAGCCCAGGTCGATCTCAACACCCTGGCGCCGCCTCTGGCTGCGCCCTTGGGGCGCTCCGCGCCCCAGAGTTGAGTTGTTGAGACCACCCCAGGCTATTTCGGTTGAGGCCACCTGGCATTTTCTGGGGGGGCCTGTTGAGACCAGCTGGGACTGGCGAGAAAGAGGAGGAAGCGGGTGGCATGCGAAACAAGCATGATCAGACGCTGTGCAGATCAGCGAGGTGTCCAGGGGCGTTCTCGTCGTGAACAGGAGGCGCCAGCCCCCAAACGCACAGCCACGAATTTTCGAGGACGTCTCGAGCGAGTGCTCCGCTGTGTACAGGAATGGTGCCCTGCATCCGCCTCAGCTGCCGTGCTGGCTGGCTGGAGTTTTTGTTTTTTGCTTCTCAGAGGTGCGACCACCTCCTACGACGCCGACGCGCCTACGACGACGACAACGACAACGACGACGACGACGACGACGACGACGACGACGACGACGACGACGATGCCGACGCCGGCGCCGACGCCGACGCCGACGCCGACGCCGACGCCGACGCCGACGCAGACGCCGACGCAGACGCCGACGCCGACGCCAACGTAGTCGCCGACGCCGACGGCCGACGCGGTGGCCGCCGCCAACGCCGAAGCCGACGGCGACGACGAGGGCCCCCTTGGGAACCATTCCCCCATCGGTCCGGCGCGTATGCTGCCATTTCCTCTGCGAGCGCGCGCGGCGGCGAAGCGAGATCCCCATCTGGAAAAGGAGCCGTCTCTCCCCGTGGCTGGCGCAAGCTTTGAGAGCGAACGCGCGCGGCACCGAGGCGGGAGCCCCAATTCTGACAACGGCACGCGTTCCATCTTGGTAGTTCTGGCGAGGTCGTCTTGGCTTCATGCCCACGCGTGGTCGGGAAGTCTCGGGGGACACGCCCAGCCCGCCCTAGCGACACCTCTGGGGGTGCGACCGGAGGCTATCCACTAAGAGAGCGGACCTCTGCGTCCGCCTGCCCCGCACTGGTTCATCCGGCGCTGGGGTATCGGGAGACTCCCATGGGGGGTTCACTTGGCTTCAGGCATCCTTCAAGTTCTGAGGCCCTTGCCCTTGTCTCAGACATCTGGCCTCCATGGACAGGGGCTGGGGTCCGCACGTGGTCGCTCAGCCAGGGGCGCCGCCAGGGATGTGGCGAACGGGTCCGGCGCCGACTCGCATCAAAGAGGTCCGCCGAAACGCCATGCTGAATGCATGTGTTGTGTGGCAGCTTGGTTCTCCACTCTCCTCTTCCCTCCTCGTCTCGAGGGGTGGGGGGCGGCGAGCACATGCCGCCGGGGCGACGTTGCCGCGAGCTGCGGGCGCGATCCCATGCGCGGCAGCGCGCCGGAGGCTGTCGCGCGCGGCGCGCCTGTGGTCAGGGCGCTCTCCGTGCTGTCAACTCTGGTGGGCCGAGCTCCCAGTCGGCGTCGGGGAGGAGGAGGAGGGGAAGAAGGAGGAGGAGGAGGAGGAGGAGGAGGAGGAGGGGAAAGAGGAGGAGGAGGAGGGGGAGGAGGAGGCCTTCTGACTTCGACAGGCCCGTACTGGGACTTGGCATCGCTCGGGCGTGTGCTTTGTTTTTTTCTCGCCGGGGACAATCGAGGAGCATCCTGGACCATCGAGCACCAAACCACGCACAAAACCGAAAAATGCACGGGGAATGGACGCCCGAGCGATGGCAAGGAGAAGATTCCCCGATCGAAGACGCTTACGGCGAATCGCCGCCGCCCCCTGCCGTCTGGGCGCGCCTGTGTGGCCGAACGTTGCGTCCAAGCTATCGGACTATGTGTTCCCCCAGCCTTTGTGGAAACCCGTCGGATAACACGAGGGGGAGAAAGAAGAAGCGGAGGAGAGGAAAAGAAGGAGGAGGATGATGATGAGGAGGGGGAGGAGGAAGACGAGGATGATGAGGATGGATAGGCCTCTTGGGAGCCTCTTGGGCCTCCTGGGAGCTTCCTGGGGGCCTCCTTGGGGACTTCCTTGGGCCTCTTTGGGCCTTTGGGGGCTCCTTGGGAGGCTCTTTGGCCGTCTGAGGGCGTTCCTGGCCTGGTGGACGCCGTCGGGAGCCGTCCTGGGGGCCTCTCTGGGTCGACTTGGGGCTTGGGGCGCTTCAGGGCCGTCTTGGGCGCCATCTTGTGCTCTTGGAGGTCTCCTGGGCCGTCTCGGAGCCATCTTGGGACTGTCTTGGAGCCCTCTTATGCCGTCAGGGGGGCATCTCAAAGGACTCTTGGGCTTTCTTGGGGCTATCTTGGTTGCCTCTGAAGCTGACGTGTGGCCGTCGGAAAGCCGAACGTGAGCAAGCGCCCAAGTTCTTCAGTAACCTAATGTCAATGAGAATCACCGATGTGGGCCTTTCGGCCTGAGTCAGTCTTGGAGTCAGTCTTGGAGGCCTCTTGGGCCGCCTTGGACGACCTGTAGGCCATCTTGGGCCTTCTTGGGAGCAGATTGGCCCGTCTTGAAGACATCTTCGGGCCATCTTGGGCTTTTCGCGGGGCCATCGTAGCCGTCTTGGAGATCAGCATGGCCGTCTTGTAAGCAATATTCGGGCTGTCAGGTGCAGGAAGACCCACGACTTGGGAAATCTACAGGTCCTTCTTCCGTGCTGGCGGAATCGGCCGAAGGCCCATTTGGGATCTTCTTCAACACCAAGATGTTACCAAAAGTCTAGCACGCCGTGCAACCCTGAGGCAAGCCAACAGGGAGCGGCGGATTATCAGTGACACTCGGCCCATCCCGCCACGATGCCCAGGTTTTAGGCTACAGGCCTCGTGGACGCCTGTGGGGATCTCTTGGGAGGCCTCTCGGAAGCCTCTTGGATGCAGTGTTAGGGTGTCTTGGGATCTCAGCAGGGCCTCTTGGGGGCCTCCTGGGGCCTGAGTCAGATGATTCTAAATCCAGCAGGGCATCTCTGGATTTGTTCGGGATCCGAGTGATGGAGTTCTCAGGTGCCTGTCATGGGGATTGTTCCACCGCATTGTGCAGAAGGTCGAGTCCTACTGCTGCTGGTTGAGTCGGCGGATACTACTAGGCAGCACCATTTGCGATGCAGCCGACGAAGGTCAATCCACAGCCCCCTCTTCGCGCTGTTACTTGCGGCTTTCCAGTGGCGCTTTTATGCCGAATGCCCCAAGACCTGCCCCATTCGCCAAGGTCTTCGGCACATCGTTTCTCAAACCTGGATCAATGGTATCCCAATCCTCGCCATCACATGCACTTACACATTCAGACCACGGGCTCGCTGGGCCCCGACGATGCCAGGGCGCGCTGGCCGCTGTGTCCATCCCTTCCCCGGTACCCCGCTGGCATGCCCCCCTCCCCCAAAGTTCCCGGAGGAGCGAAACACCCTGGGTTTGCCTAGCGTTTGCTTCGTAAGCCCCTCGGCCAAATGAACTTCAAAAATGTCGGCCACGCCCCTTCAATGTGGGGGCGCCCCTTCAATGTCGGCACGCCCAGAAGCGTCGTGGCCAGGGGGCATTTGATCGGTCTGCAGGGTCAAGTCGATAGTTCGATGATGATCGACATTGAGGGGGGCGCGCCAAGAAGTACGGCGCGTTCCTCGCCAGCCACTCCAGAAACACACAAGCTCAAGTTGGATATGCAACACATTCTTGAAGTTAAGGTTGACCTGGGTAGTAGGATTAAGTCGAGCATGTCTCTCTACAGCAGGAATATTCAAAAATAGTTTAAAACATAGTCAGGGGACGATTTTCCAGTATTTTTGCAAATGCTTGAGCATTTTTTGTTTATTTTCTGTTTCGCCCAAAATCTGCGTGTAGGAGGACATGCCCGACCTCAGTAGGATTGTCACCCCCCTGCTCGGAGTGCACGTCGAGCTCCCGGAGTGCATTCCCAGGGCCCGCCAGCTGTTTCGAACATGGTTTGAGCACAGTTCGGCATCGAGCAAGGGGGGGGAAATGAGAAGGAGAATGCCCTCACTGGTCTCAATTCGACTCATCCTAGTCGACTCGATTTGATTTCGATGGCCTCCGATTCCAATTCTAATCGACTTCGAATTCCGATTTGGACTCCGATTTCTCAATATAGGCCTACCAACTTGCAGATTTCCGGCGATTCGACTTCTCCCGGCTCGGCTGCCGATTTCTGCCGATCCGATTCATTTCGATCGCCGATCCGACTTGTCGATTCGATGTTGGCCTCATTTGCTTTCTTAGAAGACGACGGGACTTCCCACAAGCCCTCGCGTTTCCTCAGAAGTTGTTTGCGTCTTCGGGGAAGGATCCGAATATTGTTCAGAGCGAAGGGCCGATGCCAGCAAGCTACACAGAAACACTCGAGCGACGAGTCGGGGGAGGATCAAGGAGGCAGGAAGCGGAAGGAGGACCAGCAAATTTGGATCAGGGAAATCGTTGGCCCCAGGGGGCGCAGGTGGGAAGATCTGGCCAGCCTTGGGACAGAAGTGCCTTCCCCTGGAGCATTCGTGGTCGTCGGGGCCTGCCGAGGCCATAGAGGAGCGCACGCGAGTTCCAAGTGGCCGAAGTGGCGGGCCAGAGAAGCCTCAGGGCCCTTGGGGCCCCTGGGGATGGGCCAGACAGAGCCTCGGGGACCCCCGAGGCCTTCCAGATTCTATCGAACACGCCTACGGCGAATCACCGCCACCCCCTGCCTTTTTGGAAGCGCCCGCGTGGCCGAACATTGGGTTTGAGCTTGGCCTAGCTACCAGGCCGCGCGTTCCCCGAGTGGGTATCGAAAGCCTTCGGGGAGCACGGAGTCGGGCGAGCTATTGGAACAGGTGGTCTCCGAGCTTGCGGCCTCCTGGAGGACGTCTTGGAGGGGTCTTGGGCCGTCTCGGAGGCCTCTGGCGGGCCTTTTGGGCAGTCTAAGGCCATCTTCAGGCCACCTGGGGCCGTTTTGGGTGCATCTTGGGGCCATCTTCGCCGTCTTGGAGGCCTTCTTGGCCGTCTTGTCTTGGAGGCATCCTTGATGCCATCTTGGCCGTCTTGGAGGCCATCTTGGGCGTCGTGGGGGCCTCTTGGCAGTCTTGGGGTATCTTGCAGACCATCTTGGTAGTTTTTGGAGCCTCTTGGGCCGTCTTGGGCCCCCTTGGGGCTGGCTTGAAGGCCTCTTGGGCCGTTCTGGAGCCATCTGGGAGGCCTCTGGGACTAGTTTTGGGGGCTCCCTGGGCCCGCCGCCGTCACGTGGCAGCATCCGTGCAGAGAACGTCGGCTTGCGGGGCGCTCCGCTCTGTATTGGTGGTGCTTCCCCCGAGCCCCCGAGCACAGGTGCGCGAGGCGGCGGCTGCAGGAGGCCGGCGGCTTGGGGGGGCGCGCTCTCTCTCTCTCTCTCTATTTCCCTCCCAGCCCTCCCTCCCTTCCCCTCCCCCTCTCCCTCCCCCTCATGTTCACACACACACACATATATATATATATATACACAAGACTGCAGTGGCGCTTCGCGCCATGCGCCTTGGTCCTTGAAGTTTGGTACGCAGGCGGAATGGCAGGAGGGTCAAGCCGACAATTTGGTGATATTTCCTGTTTGCCTTTTCCGGCATCGCCGCTATAATGATGTTATTCGTTATCCTTCCTCCATGCTTATTGTTCCTTATTTTCGCCATACCCTGCGCATTCTCCCCATCCTCCTCAGCTCTTTTTTGCGGAGGCTCCTCCTTGGAGAGCCTCTAGGGACCTCACAAAAGTTGTTTCGGGGTTTCTTAAGGCCTTCTGGAGGCCTCCTGGGCGTATTCTGGGGGCCTCCGGGGGCTTCCTCGGGCCACCCTGCCTCCAACCGCCGTCTGAACGACCGAATCACGATTTGGAATTCTTCGGAGGGTGTCTTTGGGCCCTCTTGGGCCGCCATGGGGCTCTCTGAGCGCCATCTTGGACCCGTGTTGTGCCGTTTTGGGTTTTTTTTGGACTGCTTGGAAGCCCTTTCGGATGGTTGTGGGGCGATTTGGGAGCCTCCCAGGCGGCTTCCGACGCCCAGAAGACCGCCGTCTTGGAGCGTCGGGAAGCCGAAAAGAGGAGAACCCCAAACTTCACCAAAAACCCACAGAAAATCAATTAATTTTTGCCTCGGGGGGCCTTCTTGGGAGTGCTCTTGGAGGCCTCTTTGGGGCCGTCCTGAAGGCCTCTGAGGCCATCTTGAGGTCACGTCGGTCACTCTTGGAGCTCTCTTGTGCTGTCTTGGGGGTCTTTGGGGCGTCTCCGATGACCGCCCTGATCGCCCCAAGTGTGCTGGGAAGGCTTGGCAAAACGCCTTGCGAGGCCCGGTGGCCGCTACGAGGCCCGTTCGGAGGGCCCCAAAGCCCCAGGTCCCAGGAGTCCGTTTTTTTTTGGGGGGGGGGGTGACGGGTTTTCCCCCCGCCCGGGCTTATAACAATATAGGAAGAGGAACACACACATATATATATATATATATATATATATATATATATGTGTGTGTAGGTATGTATGTATGTATGTATGTATGTATGTATGTATGTATGTATGTATGTATGTATGTGTGTGTGTATGTATGTATGTATGTATGTATGTATGTATGTATGTATGTATGTATGTACGTATGTACGTATGTACGTATGTACGTATGTACGTATGTACGTATGTACGTATGTACGTATGTACGTATGTATGTATGTATGTATGTATGTATGTATTTATGTAGTATCATACCTTTTCGCTTTCGCTCTAAACTCCAATCGTCAATCTCCTCCGCTTCATCCTCCTTCTCCTCCTGGCCCGTCTTGCGATTGCGATTGCAACGATATACGATTGGACATTTCTGGATCAGGGATCTTCCCATCGAGTATGGAAATCACATTGAAATCCTATACCGAACGCTTCTGCAACGATTTCACGATCGGTTGAATTCCTCAGAGTCGGAGGCCAACGACGTTTTGTTGCAGAACGGGCGCGGCTGCGCTACGCGCAGAGGCACTCAAGTGAAAGGAACCACAGGCAAACGCGAGTACGCATCAGCCCCTGAACAGCGAGCTCGAGCAGTCAAGTCATGGGATCACGACACGGATAAAACAACAAAGAACAAGTTGCTCCTGGTGTTCAAGTTTTTCCTTGTTTTCCCGGTGAAAACATAGGGTTTCGACTCTTTTTCCTATGTGTTCTGTTTTCTTTCTCCGTCCCTCGAGAATCCTGAAGCGTCCGAGCGGCCTACGGACTCTCCGCCCATGATGCGATTGCTTCGGGCCTCAGGCTTCACCATGGGGATCAAAGTAGGATCTGCGGTTGGTTTTTGGTCGCTTCTACTCTCCCTCCCCTCGTCCCTCACCCTCTCCCTCCCGAATCTCAGTCCCACGTCCTCCCTTCACTCTCCCTCACCTCATCTCCCCCCCTGCCTCCTCACTCCTCCGTCCCCCCTCCTCCGCTTTGCACGGCAACCGCGTTGCATTGCAATCGCATTGCGTGCCAATGACTGAGGAAGGAAGGAAGGAATAATAGTGAGGATGGGAGGGTGTAGCGGGCAAAGGCTATTAGGCTCTCAGTCCCTCTGAAACACGCTGCTTGGTGCCATGGGCAGCCCAGACAAGGACACCGAAGAATACAAGAGAAAACTGGCAACACAAACCAAGCCTACAAAGCCAAAGAACGGCTTCAAGCTTTTCTGCAGTCGCCGCGGGTAAAGGCGCTGGTGACGACCTTCTGCCGCGCGGCCTGGGACAAGGTCCGCGCGGCTGTCCGCACAGCGACAGAAGAGCACGCCGCGAGAGAAGACGCCCTCAAGACCAGGATGGGCGAACAAAAACACAACAACCCAACGTCCAATTGGTGCCGCGCAGAAGCGGCACGGTTCGACAACGACGCGCCCACGACGGCCCCAGAGGCTTCCGACACCGTCCCAAGACGGCCCGAGACGTCCCCAACAGGGCTCCTAGATGGTTCCTGATTGCCCCAGGACGGCCCAAGACTGCCCAAAAGGACCCCAAGAGGGGCCAAAGACAGCCCTTCATGGCCCCAAGAGGCCCCAAGACGGCCCAAGAGGCGCCCAATGCGGCCTCGAGAGGGCCCAAGCAAGCCCCTACACGACCAAGAGTGCCCCGAGAGGCCCCCAAAGGGGCTCCAAAAAACTCCCTAGCGGCTCCCCGACGGCCCGCCTCGCTGGATTCGGCGCCTTCGGTGGGAGAACATCTCCAGAACAAGCTTCAAAGGATTTGCTGCAGTAGGTGAAAGCGTCGTACCACCCAGCGCGCACAACAAAACTTCGATCCGCTCAACTCCGTGGATTTAATCCACGGGTCCACACTAGCATCTCTCTCTCTCTCTCTTTCTCTGTATGTGTATATAAGGGCTTCGCCCCACGCCGCCGGCCCCCTGTCTCGGATAATGGGAGATGCAACAGCTAAATCATTATGTTTGGGTGCCGCCGTGAAGCAGTGTTGGGACCTGTTTGTTTTCCGACCCTGACCCCGCCGATCTGCGTGAGGGGTGCCAGCGAATTTCAGAAATGTGGCAAAACCCTTGTGTTTGTGGACCCTGACCCCGCCGATCTGCGTGAGGGGTGCCAGCGGATCTCAGAAATGTAGCAAATCCCATGTGCTTTTGGACCCTGACCCCGCCGATATGCGTGAGGGGTGCCGCCGAATTCCAGAAGTGGCAAATCCCATGTGCTTTTGGACCCTGCCCCCTCCGATCTGCGTGAGCGGTGTCAAGTTTTACCCACCCCAGCAATTCAGAGCACACGCTCAGGGCGTGGTAAAATTACCGTTTTGGGCCTCCCTCCCCTCGCGCGGCCCATCAACAAAGAACAGTGAGCAGCATGAAGCAGAACAGTAACAGTGGAAAGTGGAAGCTGCAATTGGCACAGGAAGCTGCAAAGTTTCGGCCTACATCCTGGTGGCCCCACAAGGGGGGCGGCGGATTATGTGTTTGTGTCTCTCTCTCTATCTCTCTCTCTCTCTCTCTTTCTCTCTCCTTTGCGTTTTGGGCGGCGTATTCACTGGCGAACCCAGGGGTGAAAAACACTTCTGATGATACTAATTAGGACGCCGTCAGGTCGCGAGAAAGTCCTCGTTTCACGGTTCATGCTCCTGGACAATATTCGCGGGCGGCGCCGGGGCGCGTGTGGGACTGGGTGACCTTGAGTGGTTTGCCAAGGATCACCGAGCGCGTTCCAATACTCACAAAGTGCCTACTCGCAAGCGTCAGAAACTTATCCCAGCAAAGCAACCTAACAGCGATGTGTAAAAGCATATATGTGTGCACCATCATGTAGATTCAGATGGCGATTTCATTAACAATCAACTCGGACTCTCATTGTAGACTTTTGCATCCAAGTCTGCAATCGACGGATGCGAGTTTAAACAAGCACTCGGTATCAACGAATGCAGTTTCAAATGAGACGCTGGTATCTACGTTCACTGCGTGCTCACGGAAGCGTTTGAAGTGGATGATGTGATGATGACCATGATTGTTTAAAGTAGAGCTTATGTATCAATGAATGCTGCGTTTGATGGCTGCGTTTTTTCGAAGTGTTTTTTCGGACGCGCACGAGGAGCACAAATGAGTGCAGCGTACGGAGCGAGAAAACGGGCAAAAACTGCAAGCTAAGAAGCATCGCAGACATTCGCAGGCACCGTGCCAACGCGGCCGAGCATATCATCACCTTTGGAAGTAGTCTTCCAATACTGCAGGCTGACAAGCACAGCGGGCATGGAGAATTGGATCCATCACCTCTCCTGTTCGTCTTCTCGAAGATCGCGCCAGTCTGGCGGCGATCACAAGCGAACAAGCGTGGCAACCCTGCCGGCTTAAGAGCACCACGGAGACTCAGAGACAGAGTCCCCCCTCCTCTTCCACCTCATCTTCCTCCGCCTCCGCCCTCCTCTTCCTTTTTTTCCTTCTCCTCCTGCTCGTCCTCTCCCTTCTCTTCCTCCCCCTCCTCGTCCTCTTCAGCAGAGAAGCTGAACGCGGTCGTGCAGCGCGTCACTTTTGGAACTAGATCACGCCGGTCCGGCGGCGAACAGAAGCGGAACACGAAGCAAACCTGCAGGCTTAGAAGCACCGCGCAGACTGGCAGACAGAGCCCCCCCTCCTCTTCCACCTCATCCTCCTTCGCCTCCGCCCTCCTCTTGCCCCTCCTCCTCCTCCTCCTGCTCGTCATCTCCCTTGTCATCCTCCTCCTCCTCGTGCTGTCAGCACAGAGGCTGAAGGCGGCCGCGCAGCGCAGCACTTTTGGAACTAGGTCGCGCCAGTCTGGCGACGAACAAAAGAGGAAAGCGAGGCAAGCCTGCAGGCTTAGAAGCACCACGGAGACTGGCAGACAGAGTCCCCCCTCCTCTTCCACCTCATCCT